GATTATTATCTCCATTTTAATAGAGACAGAGGCTATGAAAGGTAAGTCATTTTCTCATTAAGTAAATGGCAGAGCTAACCTTTGAACCTAGATTTATCCTTTCTCCATAGTCCATCATATTATATGCCTCTAAGAATCTAGGTAAGATAAGCTAGCCTGGAACTCTGGCAATATTAGTGAAAAGTCAAAGGGCACAAATAATATAAAAGCTACTTGAAGAGATAAAAGCAATGAGATTTCATTACTATTTATGGAGGTATGATGGAGAGAGGAGTCAAGGTTGGCAGTATAATTTTTATCTTGGGACAGTATGAGGATAGCTAAGTCATTTATACTCCAGAAATATGAAAGGACAGATTTTGAGAGAAAATAGAACTAATTCAGTACTAGACATGCAAAGCCTGGGACTTGTGAGATATACAAAGATGTATGATGGGCAGACAGAAATATAGACCCAGAAATGGTAGAAATACTAAATTAGAATTTATAAAAACACCGCCTGAGAAACGAAGCCAAGGGAATAAGTGACCAGGAATTAATTTAAAAGAAAAGATGAAGAACAGAAATGTCTGGGAAATATCATGTGATTGGTAGATAGAGGAGGAGCCAAGAGGACTGAGTAGGAATTATCTGAGATAAAAAATCAGGGGAATTCAACTGTATCCCAATATTAGGTTATCCTATATAATAAAGAGGTAATATGCAAATTGACCGTCATGCCCTCACAAGATGGCCAACAGGGGAGGGCAGTTGTGGGCGACCAGGCCTGCAGGAGAGGACAGTGAGGGGTGACCAGGCCAGCAGGGCAGGGCAGTTGGGGGCGACCAGGCCGGCAGGAGAGGGCAGTTGTGGGCGATTGGGCCGGCAGGGGAGCAGTTAGGCGTTGATCAGGCTGGCAAGGGAGGGGTTAGGGGTGATCAGGCTGGCAGGCAGAAGCTGTTAGGGGAAATCAGGCAGGCAGGCAGGCAGGCCAGTGAGCGGTTGGGAGCCAGCAGTCCCGGATTGTGAGAGGGATGTCCGACTGCCTGTTTAGGCCCGATACCAGGGATCGGGCCTAAACAGGCAGTCGGACATGCCCCTAGGGGTCCCAGATTGGAGAGGGTGCAGCCTGGGCTGAGGGACAAACCCCTCCCCCGCAATAACCCATAATAACTGTAAGGGGTTGTTGCTTTTAATAACATGGTGTTAATAAGAACCTAGCCTGAAACTATGTAGAAATGTAAAAAATGACAAGAATCAGGGGTTTGACAGAAACTCTGAATAGCACATAGCTTTCCACTTGATTGGCAATGAAGCAATATTAGTTTAAAAACTCACTTAAAGCCCTAACCGGTTTGGCTCAGTGGATAGAGCGTCGGCCTGCGGACTGAAGGGTCCCAGGTTTGATTCCGGTCAAGGGCATGTACCTTGGTTGTGGGCACATCCCCAGTGGGGAGTGCGCAGGAGGCAGCTGATCGATGTTTCTCTCTCATCGATGTTTCTAACTCTCTATCCCTCTCCCTCCTCTCTGTAAAAAATCAATAAAATATATTTAAAAAAAACAAACTCACTTAAAAACATTCATTTATGCAATAGCAGTTTAAACATTCATTAAAAAGAACCCTCAGAAGTTGTATTTAAAATAACACAAGCCCATTATAAGTTTTCCTTTTTAGATTACTGCACCTGAAGAATTTCAGAGATCTCAAAATTTTCTTAAGTTTTTAAATGGCTAAAGGAGTATAGCAGGAATTTAGTCCATATACAAATAATTACAATTTATAAAAGTGAAAAACAGAAATCTAAATTTTCAGTAATATAGAAATGATAAAATTGTCTTTATTTGATGAAATAAGCAGTTATTAAAAGACAGTTCTGAAGATTTAATTACCTAAAAAGACTATAATCTAAAGTAAAATACATAGGACAATGCCAACTTTCAAAAATCTATATATGTTGTTTTTGTATATATTGGAATTAAGTATTTTTCTTTTACTTTTTCAAGTAAAAGTACTGTTTATGGAAATTAATATAGCATTATAAAAACAGAATATATGATATTAACAATTTACCTGAAATTCATTCACATATTGTGCCATCACAAACTCATGTCTTTCACTTGATAAAGGTTCTGCTAAAACATCAGGTAAAGTTTTATGAACCTGGCTTTTCTTCTGTGACACGGTCCCATTGAGATGACAATCAAAACCTATGTTCCCAGGAAGCTGAAATCTCTGGTCCTGAGGCCCAAATGGTCCCATTATTTCATCTGGCCATATTGTTCGAGAGCCTGAAAAGAAACAACAAAATGAGTCATTTTCTCCTTAATGATAAAGTATACTGGGAGACTGAAAGAATGAATTCTTTTTAGAATTGGGTATTTTTTACCTAAATGATAGACTTTTGAAATTTGCTTTCCTATGTGAATATAGTTTTGAGTTATTTCCAAATTGCTAATCAAAGCAACCAGTTGTCAGCTCCTAAGCAAGTCCATTATTAGGAAATTTAATAAAAGTACTGTAATCCATATTATTTAATGCTTGATAATTATGAAAAATATAGTAAATCTTTACTGATACCGAAGTCCAAGATACATTACCTTAAGAGTAAAAGCTAAGTCAAAGAATAGTATTTATTTTAAAATCTTTTATTTATGTTTTTAAGAAGGGGGGGATGATCTAAAATGAAACATCCTATCCTATAAAGAGGTAATATGCAAATTGACCCTCACACCCTTGCATCACAAGTTGGCCGCCCCCACGTTGTCACAAGATGGATGGCAGGGGAGGGCAGTTGGGGGGACCAGGCCTGCAGGGGAGGGCAGTTGGGGGCGATCGGGCCGGCAGGGGAGCAGTTGGGCATCAATCAGGCTGGCAGGGGAATGGTTAGGGGGCGATCAGGTTGGCAGGCAGAAGCGGTTAGGGGCAATCAGGCAGACAGGCAAGGCAAGTGGTTAGGAGCCAGCAGTCCCAGATTGTGAGAGGGATGTCCAACTGCCGGTTTAGGCTCATTCCTGCAGGGATCGGGCCTAAACTGGCAGTCGGACATCCTCGAGAGGTGCCAGATTGGAGAGGGTGCAGGCTGGGCTGAGAGACACCCCCCCCCACCTGTGCACGAATTTCATGCACCAGGCCTCTAGTACTGAACATAACAGGGGTTACCCTAGGGGAGGGGCATGAAGCTTTGTTAATGCTGAGCTGGAAAAATCTTTTATGAACCATGTGACATAATGCTGTTTACCAAGCCGAATGAGTTAACATGGATTAAATACTTATAGAAGAAGAGAAACAGTGCTTCATTCACTTTTTAAAAATATCCTAACTTGTGAAAATTTCAAAAAGATCCAGGAAAGAATAAAGTAGAAAACTAAACCAAGAAATTCTCAAGTAGGAGTTTTGTTTACAGAAAGGGATGATTGCTGAAGACATCAGTTGGCAATAAAAACATTTTTTAATACTCTGTCCAACCTGAGTGACTAAAAATGGCCATAGAAATATGACTGCTGCATCATTAGATTGTGTCATCATATTCATCTTCTAGAACTATGACAAACATCCATCAATCATAAAACTCTTCCCTCTTGAATCTAGACAATGTCTCATAATTCTTAACCCCAAACACTCTAGCCTAGTATTTTTTAAACTTTTAAGAAGTATTTAAGAATTATCAGAGTCTTGGCCAGGTGGCTCAGTTAGTTGGAACATTGTCCCATACACCAAAGGGTTTCAGGATCCATTCAACAAGGCACATACCTAGGTTGTGGGTTCAGTCCCAGGTTGGGGAGCTTACAAGAGGCAGCTGATTGATGTTTCTCTCTCTTTCTCTCTCTAAAAATCAATAAAAATATATCCTCAGGTGAAGGGAAAAGAAGGTAAAAATGTCAAAAAAATCATCGGAGATCTTATGAAACTGTAGATTCTGATTTATTAAATCTGGAGTGGGGTTCAAGATTCTTTATTTCTATAAAGTTTCTAGATGATATTGATGCTATTAGTCTGAAGACCATCGTGAGTAATAAGGCTGACACACACTAATAATTAACTGAAGTCAGTTCAAAAGCAAAAACCTATCAGCTATTTTTTAATAAGATGGGTTTTAAAGACTATTCAGATCTAACAGTCTCTTGAAAAAAAAATCCCATGTTAATAGTGGATCTGAGCATAATTTCATGTTGACTGATCATTTAGTGTTTTCCTTCCAGGAATAGTCTGTTCATATACATTTTAAAAAATTGTTTGGTTTCTCTCTTCTTGTTCCCCCAACCAAAGAACTTATATACTTAAATGAATAGCCCATGGACACGGGCAACAGGGTAGTGAAGTCATGGGGGTGTGTGGGGGGAACGGAGAGGGGGTAGGTAGGGGCTGGGAGAAGGGAGGAAAGGGGGAAAATGGGAGATATCTGTAATATTAGTAACAATAAAAGTATATAAAAATAATAAAATAAATTTAAAATAAATAAATTATAATAGGATTTTCACTGAATTTGGATTATAATCTGTAAAAATAAAAACAAAATTTATGTCATAACATGCAAAAAAAATTGTCTGGTTTCCTACTGTCTTTTTCCTATTAGTCTATGAAATACATTTTTTTTAAATATTCAGGATATAAACCCCTGAATGTCAAATCTTTCATTTATGATACATACATGTTTAGCCTTCCAAAGATATAAGTTGGAGTAATTAGAGATGGAGTATAAAACTGGGGCAAGAAAACCTGGGGCATGCTCAAGTAAACTTAAATTACACAGTAAGTAATGTGTTGCAAGAAAAAAAGGATTCCATGCCCAATTCCTTTAGGATACAGTACATTAAGTTCCTAAGAGCCCTCCCTTAATATTTTAGTGTGCATTATAAGTCTCCAATATAGGACTGTGGCATAGAACACTTCTGAAATTTAGCTAATCACATAAATTAAAAAAAAATTTTTTTAAAACCAGAAAATTTTTCATAGGTTGGGGACTGGAACTGCTACTGAAAGTAGTGGGAGGCAACCAAGGTTTAATAAGGAATTGACAGAATTAAAATGTTTTAGAATGATTAATAATGTGCAAGATGGATTAGATGAAGCAGAATTTGTAGAGGATAAATTACTGATTCAATAAACACATATATAAAAAGTGCCAGCTATTTAAAAAATTCAGCAAAGAATGGTAAAAAGTGGTAAGTGTAATAGCATTAAAAGATTTGTTTCAGAGAGGACTGTATGTTTTTGAAGAGAGAAAGAAACTAATCTATCTACACTAATAAAAGAGAAACATGGTAATTAGTATACGACCGCTTCCCTTGTCATTGGCTAATCAGTGAGTATATGCAAATTAACTGTCAGCCAAGATGGCGGCCGGCAGCCATGCACTGAAGCGAGCAGGGGAGGCCTGCTTGCTCCAGTGACTGCGGACTCCAACGTTCCCCGCCTAACTTGCCGGCCTCTCAGCTGCAACTCTAAGCAACTATGTACTATGTTGCAAATAAGAAGCTAAACAAAACCCCAGAAACCGGCTGTCAGTCAGCCCCGGACCGCAACATTGTATCGATGTTTTCAGCAGCGAGGCCTCAGAGCTAAAGCTGGCCCAAAATAAAAAAAAAAAAAAAGAAAACAAGGAGCGGTTGGAAGCTTCAGTCACTCGCTTCCGGAAAACAGCCCTCAGCCCCTCACCCAGACTGACCAGGCACCCCAGTGGGGCCCCCCACCCTGATCCAGGACCCCCTTCAGGGCAAACCAGCCAGCCCCCACCCCTGCACCAGGCCTCTATTCTATATAGTAAAAGGGTAATATGCCTCCTGGCACCAGGATCAGCGGAGCAGCGAGGCTCCCGGCACCGGGATCAGCGTGACAGGGGGCAGCGCCCCAACCCCCTGTTCGGCCCTGCTCTGTGCGTGACAGGGGGGAGCTCCCCAATCCCCTGATCGGCCCTGCTCTGTGGGTGATAGAGGGTGGCGCCCCAACCCCCCTCCACGGGCCTTGCTCTGTGTGTGACAGGGGGCGGTGCCCCAACCCCCCAATCGGCCCTACCCTGAGCATGACTGAGGGCGGCATCGCAACCTCCCGATCCACCCTGCTCTGTGCATGACAGGGCGGTGCCCCAACTCCCCTATCGGCCTTACTCTGTGAGTGACAGGGGGCAGCGCCCCAACCCCCTGTTCGGCCCTGCTCTGTGCGTGACAGGGGGGAGCTCCCCAATCCCCTGATCGGCCCTGCTCTGTGGGTGATAGAGGGTGGCGCCCCAACCCCCCTCCACGGGCCTTGCTCTGTGTGTGACAGGGGGCGGTGCCCCAACCCCCCAATCGGCCCTACCCTGAGCATGACTGAGGGCGGCATCGCAACCTCCCGATCCACCCTGCTCTGTGCATGACAGGGCGGTGCCCCAACTCCCCTATCGGCCTTACTCTGTGAGTGACAGGGGGCAGCGCCCCAACCCCCTGTTCGGCCCTGCTCTGTGCGTGACAGGGGGGAGCTCCCCAATCCCCTGATCGGCCCTGCTCTGTGGGTGATAGAGGGTGGCGCCCCAACCCCCCTCCACGGGCCTTGCTCTGTGTGTGACAGGGGGCGGTGCCCCAACCCCCCAATCGGCCCTACCCTGAGCATGACTGAGGGCGGCATCGCAACCTCCCGATCCACCCTGCTCTGTGCATGACAGGGCGGTGCCCCAACTCCCCTATCGGCCTTACTCTGTGAGTGACAGGGGGCAGCGCCCCAACCCCCTGTTCGGCCCTGCTCTGTGCGTGACAGGGGGGAGCTCCCCAATCCCCTGATCGGCCCTGCTCTGTGGGTGATAGAGGGTGGCGCCCCAACCCCCCTCCACGGGCCTTGCTCTGTGTGTGACAGGGGGCGGTGCCCCAACTCCCCTATCGGCCTTACTCTGTGAGTGACAGGGGGCAGCGCCCCAACCCCCTGTTCGGCCCTGCTCTGTGCGTGACAGGGGGTGGCGCCGCAACCTCCCCATCGACCCTGCCTTGAGTGTGACAGGGGGGGGGGGCCCCCCCCCCCCCCAGTGCACAAATTTTTGTGCACCGGGCCTCTAGTAATATATAAAAGCCTAAGCGACCATCACAACAGAAACAACTGAACGGATGACTGAACAGGCTGTGTGGAGTGACCAGGCCGGCAGGGGGGTTAGTGAGGGATGACCAAACAACTGGGCAGTGAGCTGTGTGGAGCAACCAGGCTGGCGGGGGAGGGTGGGTGGGCAGTTGGGCAGTTAGGGGTGAACAGGCCGGCAGGGGGGT